ATATGGAGAGAGGACAGCTCAGCATCATGTGAGGCTCACAGCTACATGATCACTGTTGAAAAGCTGAAAGCTTCTCCTCTAAGACCAGAAAGAGAACAAGGATGCACACTCTTTCCATTTTAATACACATTATGTTAGAAATTCTAGCTAGAACAATGAAGAGAAAGATGTTCAAATCAAAAAAGAAGTAACTCACTATTTGCAGATGGCATGCTATAAACATAAAACCTTACAAGTGCCACCAAAAACCTACTGGAATAAATTCCATAAAATTGTTGGATACAAATTTAAAATACAGAAATCTATTTCAGGACCAGAGCAATAGTACAGCAGGAAGGGCATTTGCCTTGCATGCAGCCAACTTGGGTTCCCCCAGCATTCCATATGTTCCCCCAAGCACGGCCAGGAGTAATTCCTGAGTGTGGAGCCAGGAGTAGCCCCTGAGCACTTCTGGGTGTGACCAAAAAAAGCAAAAAAAAAACCAAAAAAAAGTATTGAGGAATACATTTTATAGAAGAGATGATAGAAGTAGGACTCTGATGTAAGGAATGTAGGAGGGTCAGGGGGCTGCACAACCCTCCCCACCCTAGGCATCACTGGAGGCCCCTGGGCAGTGCCAAAGCAACCCTGATGATCCCAGTCCGGCAGGCCACACTAACCCCCGCTCTGCTCAGCACTGACCTGGCCCCTGCACATCACTTACTCTGACCCTGCATCTCCCCCTCCTGCTGCTGAGTGGAGGAACTGCTGGGGCGCCATCAGGCCCCAGAAGCACTGTTGGGAGGTCCCCAACTACCCAAAAAAGGAGGAAAGAGACAAATATTATGTGCTTATAGATTTAAGAAATAATACTGTTAAAATGTTCATGCTGCTCAGAGCAGCCTGCTGACTGCAATCACTATCAGAATTCTAATAACATCAAAAGCCTTAGCACTTGGATAGCTCCATAAAAGACCCCACACAGCTCAAGCAATCTTGAAAAAGAAAAGTTTGAGATCCTTATTTAAAATTTCATACTCCTTCTTGGCTACAATGTGTTCACAACTAGTAATGTATTGCTTACATTCTAAACCTAAGTAATTGAGAGATGAATTCTACCCTTCTTATGCCCAAACTATCAATTTTCCAACATACTTCATAAACACTCCAAGAGACAAAACTATAACCAATTTTCTGGAATTTTATCAATAATACTTTAAAAATTATATTACAAGGCTAGCATAATCAAAATAATGTGGTATTTGTCATAAAATTGAGGGCTGGAGCAATAGTACAGCAGGTAGGGCATTTGCCTTGCATGCAGTCAACCTGGGTTCAATCGCTGGCATCCCATATGGTTCCCCCAGCACCACCAGGAGTAATTCCTGAGTGCAAAGCCAGGAGTAACCCCTGAGCATCGCTGTGCGACCCAAAAAGAAAAAAAAAGATACAGAGATGAACATAATAGAATAGAATTCAGAAATAAACCTGGGACCACAGCGATGGTACATCAGGTAGGCATTTGTATTTCATGTGCCTGGCCCTCATAATGATCCCCAGCACCACATAGGTTTTCCCTGGCTCTACCAGGAGTGATCCCTGAATGCAAAACCCAAGTAACTGCCAGTTATGGTCCAAAAACAAAATCAAGTACCTGGCCATCAGTTTGACAAAGGAAGCGAAAGACTTACTTATTTTAAAAAAAAAAAAAAAGAAAGAAAGAAAAAGAAAAAAAAAGGTAAATTCCTGTTAGAAGAAAAAGGAAAATAAATAAAGACCTATTCCTTGTGGATGGTCTTATTCCTTATGGAGAGAACATTATTAAAATGACCATTTGAGGAATTCAATGCAACCCCCATCAAAATACCTATAGTATTTACAACAAAATAACTAAATGTATTAAGGGGAGTCAGGGAAGTTTCTTCAACAAATGGTGACAGGAAAACTGGTTAGTGCCATATAAAAACCCATAAATTAGATACCTACCTCACTCTGTAACCAAAAGTTAATTCAGAATGGACTAAAGACCAAGGGTCTAGGGATTGAGTATAGGGTTTAGACAGATTTATAGATCCATGAATTTCATGAAGAAAATGCTCCATGATTTTGACTTCAGAGGCATCTTCAATGATTTGATTGAAGCAAACTAACAGAAACAAAAAATAAACAAATGAACATTAAATAAAAAAGTTTATGTACTATGAAACAACCGCTAAAATAAAACTAGAGCTGGAGTGATAGGATAGTGGGTAGGGCATCTGCCTTACATATGGCCAAACTGGGTTGATCCTCAGCATCCCATATGGCCTTCTGAGCTCTGCCAGAAGTGATCCCACAGTGTAGAGCCAAGAGTAAGTCCAGAGCACTGCCAAGTGTGGCCTCCAAACCAAAAACTTACCAAAAAAATAAAATAAGACACCTTATTGAATGGGAGAGTATTGTCATACCATACATCTGGCAAAGGGCTAATATCCAAGACATTTAAAAGCACTCACAAAGCTGAACAACAGAAACATGAAGAAAGATGAGCAGAAGTTTACAACCAAAAGACCAGGGCCTGGAGAGATGGGGCATGCAGTTTCACCCCAGGCAGTAGTACTACTGGGAGTGATCCCCAAGCACTGAAGGGATGGGCCCCAAACAACAAAAACCCACCACAAACAAACAACAGGGGAAAAAAAAGGAGACATGCAAATGGTCAACAGGCATAAGAAAAAGTATTCAGGTTCACCGATGAGTGACATGCAAATCAAACGAGATAGCATCACATACCAGTGAATGTGGCCAACTTCTGTCAGTCCAGGAAGAACCAGTGGGGTGAAAGGAGAACCCTCACACTACTGATCTAGTCTGAGAAAGACACCACGTAGAACAGTATAGAAATATCTCACTGCCCCGGTGTGAACCCCAAAAAACATCTAGTCCATACTTTGCATACAGGAGGTCTGAGTTTGATCCCTGGCACATGGTCCCCAAATGCTTCTAAGAATAACCCCTAAGCACAGCTAATGTGGCCTCCAAACCAAAAAAAAAAAAATAAAATAAAATAAAATAAAACTTCCTTAAGACTCAGTAATTCCATTCCTTGGCACCTATCCCAGGGATGCAGAAACATTAATTGGACAAGATATTTGCACACTTATGTTCAATGCAGAACTACTTACAATAATCTGGACCTAGAAACAACCCAACAACAGAGGAGTAGATAAAGAAAATGTCTGGAACATGCATCAAAGTGCATCAAAGAACGGAGGAGGTGTGGATTTGAATGTTTCCTGAGCACCACTACATGGCACCAAAAACCCTAAAGAAAAATTTTAAACGTATATGGCGGAATACTACTCCATGGAATAAGATGGGATCTTGCAGTTTGCTGCAAGCTACATGGAATTGGAAGGTCTCGTGCTGAGCAGAGTGAATCCTTGTGTATGTTGAGCTTAAGTAAGGTCAACAGAACAGCCAATGGAAACAGAACCTGAAATCCTGCCAGAACACTGGGTCTGCTCAGGGAACTGAAAAGAAACAGAGAGACAGACAGGGAAGGTGCTCAGGCAGTGGGCGCAGTGGCCCCAAACGCCTAAACATCAGCAGTAGCACAACTCTGTCCTGGTACCTCAAGATAAAGGGAAAGAGCTCTCTCTGGAAAGAAAGATGGCGGCCGCACGGGAGCCTTGTGGAAAGCAGGTTTGAGCCGGGGATTGAGTATAGGCGGGGACCTCATGGGAAGGGGGGCTTTGTGGACCGTCCCCCACGCCCCACCGAGGTCGCCAGCTGCAAGCAAATGGACTTGTGTTAAAACGCACCACCAAGCCTGCCCGGAGGGGAAGGGGCGTTGACCGGCCCGCCCGCTCCTCTCTGGAAAGAAAGATGGCGGCCGCACGGGAGCCTTGTGGAAAGCAGGTTTGAGCCGGGCTCAGGGGAGCGGCGGGGACCTCATGGGAAGGGGGGCTTTGTGGGCCGTCCCCCACGCCCCACCGAGGTCGCCAGCTGCCCCCCACGAGCGGCTCTCCGGCACGGCCACGACTCCAGGGCACAGAAACCAATCTCTTAACTAGCTAACTTTTAATAGAAATTCTTCCAGGGTCAATAAGTAAAATAGCAGAAATTCAAAACCGTGCGGCCGCAATAGCGGCCGCGCGACCTCATTTTATTCTTAAACCAAGTTGTAGAAAGCAAATCATTTCACAACGCTGTTTCAGCATGTCTGACTGTGGGGGGTGGGTCGTAAACTCTAAACAATAATTGTGCATCTTCTATCGAAATAATCTATCTAGTCAAAGTATATAGAGTATTAACTAGAACTCATCTGCCTCACAAGAATTGGGAGGGGTGGGAGGTGGGGGTCTATTGGGGTTCGGGGCTAAAAATGAGTATTGGTAAAGGGAAATGTGTTTGGTATCTACATGACTGAGAACTAAACCCGAAAGCTCTGTAACTTTTCCCACAGTGATTCAATAAATAAATAAATTATTTAAAAAAAGATAAAGGGAAAGAAAAACATTACAACAAGGGGCTGAAAGAGTACAGTGGGTAAGGCCTTGCACCTAGAGTAGCTGGGTTTGATCCCCAGAATTCCATTTGGTATCCTGAGCATTGCTGGGAGTAACTCCTGAGAGCAGAATCAGGAATTACCCCTGAGCATTTCTGGGTGTGAGGTGAACGTGATAACCGCTACACTACGGAAACTACGGGGCTGGAGCAATAGCACAGCATTTGCCTTCTGCGCAGCCAGCCTGGCCGAACTGGGTTCGATTCCTCTGTCCCTCTCGGAGAGCCCGGCAAGCTACTGAGAGTATCTCGCCTGCACAGCAAAGCCTGGCAAGCTACCCGTGACGTATTCAATATGCCAAACACAGTAACAACAAATCTCAAAATGGAGATGTTACTGGGCCCGCTTAAGCAAATCGATGAACAACGGGAGGACAGTGACAGTGATTTCTGTGTGTGGCCCAAAAATAAAACAAACCAAAAAAAGAAAACAAAAATAGAAATTACAAGAAGTTACATGTTTATTTTGGGCATTAATCTGGCAACCCCAATTGCAGGAGGAGGGGCAGGGTCATAAGTTGATCTAAGAAATTAATGAGGGACTGTCAGAGGGATCTTTGCTGGAGCACTTTCTATCTGCGCTCAGATGTCTCTGTCTAGCCCCGAATCATAATTCACGTAACAGCGGAACTCGTTGCCCAGAGTCCGGGTGTGTTCTGGAATGAACCTGCACATCTTCACTCCAAGAAGCTCTGCCGCCGTGTCTTCCATGACAGCACCTAGAAAGAACAAACCGGCTGAACAAGAGCAGACACACCTCCAGCGTCTCGGCAGCAGGTACCAGGATTGACACAGGGAACAACTAGCAGCACTGCCCATAGAGGTCATATAGTGCACGTCCTTCTTATGTTCTTCAGAACTGTTGTACATTATTAATTTTCTTTTTTGTTTCAGTTCAGAAATATTCCTAATAGAAATATATAAGGATAGTGGGAGGGGCGAATAACTAATTTTTTTCCCAACGTTTTTCCCAATGAGTTTTCCAACGTTTATTTCATTAAGAACCTTATGTTTAGGAACATCTAATCCTGCAACCAGACAGGATACATTCACACCAGTTTGGGGCTGACTGAAGACGCTTCCCCCTCTGGCCCAGTGCTCATGCCCTTTGTCCAGATGGCACACTTTCCGTCCTCAGGATGCATTGCTCCTGCTGCCACTCATAGCGAGGACTCCTCTTAATCATCGCCCCCCTTCCACGTCCAGAGCATGGGAGAACCCCACTTTTTCTTCAAAGTCTATCTCTAAGCCACTTTCTGCCTCTTTTACCGCTGCTGCCCCTCCCCCTGCTGGACAGAGAGGTGATCTCTGCAGAGGTGAAAGGGGCCCTTGCCTGATGGACTGCTTTGGCATAAGATTAAAGTAAGCCTTAGACAAATCAGATCTTACCCTTGGTACTTTCGTTTTTGCTGTTTTGTTGTCTGCTATGCAGGGGATCGAATAAGGGCTCCAAAACTACAAGATAAACGCCCTACCACTGAGCTACACTCCAGCCCTCAGGCCTCACTACTTTGCTCCTGACTGGTGCCTGGAGGGGGCTGCTTTGGCCAGCACAGGGGTACACACTGGCCCTGCCCTGAGTAAGCATCCCTGTCACTGAAGGCTCAGGAACCTGCTAACGTAAAACATTCCGGTTCATCTACAGAATTGTCCTCATGCTTATGGTGCCTTTAGCTCCTGTTCTCATTACATTTATCAGGATTTATATCTTCTATTCAGTAAGAACTTTAAATCAATTCCCTTAAACTATAATTTGTGCACCAGGGGCTGGCACAAAGGGTATCAATGGGGCTGACTGAATCAGCTAAGTCCGTCTCTTTCCCCCCCAGTCTTTGGGGGCCACACCCACTAGTGCTCAGGGCTTACTTTTGAGCTCTGCTCTCAGGGGTCACTCCTGGCAGGGCTCAAAACCAGGCAGCTGTGTCCCAGACAAGTATTTTACCCCTTGTACTGTCTCTCTGGCTCGAAGAGTTCATCTTCTGACAAATAAACAATCACACACTGTAGCTGGGCTCTGCAGTCAGCACGAGGTGGTGGCCCTGCAGTCTCAGGTGGCCGTGATAGACAACACTGAGAGCCTGGACACCCAGCTGACCAGAAGAGGAGAGATGATCACTTCAACTTTTCGTTGTCAGAGTTTAGAATGTCCACCTCAAGAAACAGCTCAGTCTCCGGGGTTATATAGTGCAGGTCAACCTGTACCTGCAGGCTGAGTGCATCAGCAGCCTGATGGTGCCTTCAGGCTTCCTGATACCCCAAAATTGCCACTGTGCCTCTGGCCGGACCCCAACAACTTGGGACCAAGTTTACCAAGAAATTAAATGGCCAAAATTTAAGTATGTGGGAGTCATGCCCACAAACCACCTCCAGCTCAGCTATACAAGCTCATTTATTGGTCTTGCTTCAGAGACACATAAATAATCTCAAAAGAGATCAAAATCAGGCCATTTAAGTGCATTAATGGCCATGATTCAGAGACTCACAAATGAATCTCAAAGGAGAACAGCACGCTACAGAGATGTTTCCCAACCAGCATCAAGCTGGTCTCATTGGGGCACCTTGGAGGGGGCAGGTGTGTCCCTCCACCTGCCCCGAATGAACCCTGGCAGCCGCAAAGCTCCAGAACCCAATGCTCATGGCCAATTTTCACAGACCAGACTCATCCTGAGCCCCCCACGCATGAGAATGAATCCGCTAAAAAACCCAAATACGCAGGACCAGTGACTGAAAACTCCAGGTTTCACAGAGTTGGGGATGGGTGACCTCCCCACATCTCCCTACCCTTCTGGTTTCCTGGCAGTCACACCCAAGAACTGCCTCTGGGCACCATTTAAGTGCTTTAACGGCCATGATTCAGAGACTCAAAAATGAATCTCAGAAGAGAGCAGCATGCCATAGATATGCCTCTGGACCCCAAGTATTTAAAAATTCTAGAATTCTGGGAGTGGTCAGCTACTTTCACAGCCACCTGACACCTCATATTATCCATAGCATGCAATACAAAATAAATTATTTAGCATCTCCTAAGGGGCAAGTTGGGGTGGTGGTGGCAAGATTCAAAGTAATGGTGGTGGGATTGGTGTTGAAATACTGAATGTAAACAATTATTGTGAACAACTTTAGGAAAAAATAAAGAATTAAAAAAAATTTTAATGCATGGTTCTTGCCTGCTTCACTCAGCTTAATCAATGGCTGAATAAATAGCAGTACTCCTACATTAAAAAAAAAGAAAGAAAAAGAAATAACTCAAGTCTCACCAGCATGAAAATTCTTCAATAAACCAATCTAATGTCTATCTTGTAACCTTAAACAATTCACTTTAATTCTGCAGATCCAAATTTCCCTTACCAAATATTAATGCCAGATGAAATACTCCTAAAAACCAATAATTATGATGATAAATAAAAATAACACTCTGGGCTGGAGAGATTGTACAACAAATAAGGTACTTGCCTGGCAAGCTGCCAACCCTAGTTCACGGTCCCTCACCAAGTATGGCCCCCTGAATCCCACCAGAAATTGTCCCTGAGTGCAAAGCCAGGAGTAAGCCCTGATACCTCCACGAGTGGCCCGCAGACCAAAATTAATTAATGTTTGAAAATAATATTCCTGCTCACTCATACCTTCTGAGGATGGTGTTGTCAATTCTCAACAATACTGAAAGGCAGGTGGTAGCATCAGTCCCAGTGCCCAGATAAGGAAACGGAGGCATCGAGAGTGAAATAACTTGTTCCAGGTTATGGAATAATTGTTGGATTTGGCATTGGAATTCTAAAATTTCTTCACATTCTTGAAACCTATCTGCCATCATCAACCTTTGAGACATGCCACCTGCACCCACCTGTACACAGCAGAATCTTGCCCCGCGTTAGATACTTGATAGTTTCTGACACTTTTCTGAGACATTCCTCAGAAAGATAGGGAGGATCAGCTATGACGATGTCAAAACTATGTGCAGCAACCTTCTCCGGCAGCTCCAGCGGATGGTTGTAATCATAGAAGATAAACTCTTCCCCATATATGGAAAATCTTCTGTCATATTCAAAGAGGTACACAGAAAAGTTTTCTCTGTGTAGCTCTCGCAACTTCTGGTAAACACTGGGAGAGCTCACACAGGCAATTCTGGAGTACAAAAGAAACAAACTCATGAACACTCTAAGTTCCATGTCCTAGTATGTGGGACCCTCCTAGCACTGCTCAGGAAGGTTCTGAGGGAAAGGAGAAGCATGTGGTGGGGAGACTTACCCAGGGCCTGGCACATGCAAGGTATACCGTCGTGCCACCCCCAAGCCCAGATTTTTCTTAAAGGAAGTAACAAGCTAATCAGTTAGTAACAAATTCTAAGAAAGATATTTGCAGCTGCTTCACTAGCTGGATGGCAGTCAGGAGTCACTTAATCACTTTGAAGTTTATCTTTAGGTACCAAAGGGAAGGGTGCTTGCCTTACACATGGCCAACCAGGGTACAATCCCTGGCACCCCATATGGTCCCTGAAGCCTGCCAAGAGTGATCCAAGAGCACAGATCCAAGAGTAAGCCCTGAGCATCTTCAGGTGTGGCCCAAACGAACACATACACACACACACACACACACACACACACACACACACACACACACACACACACACACCATGTACGTTTGTCTTCAGAAAGGGGAATAAAAAATAAATGGTCACTACCTCACAGAGGTGAGGATTAGATGAAATCTGTACTTAGAATAGAACAGGATACAGTATTCAATAAATGCTACTACTATTAGCCATTTCTAAAATGACAACATGACTCCTAAAAATACTGAAATTGCTTTAAAAAAAATAGAAGTTGCTTCTAAGACTCTTGTTTATGGAAACATTAATAGTGCAAAAATTGTTATAAATAAAACTTAAAAACAACCACCATTTAATTTTATAAGAAAAATAATAGGGGCCAGAGTGATAGTTCATTGCACATGGAGACCCAGGTTCAATCTTCAGCACTGCAAATGGTCCCACAAGCCCTGTCAAGAGTGATTCCTGAGCACAGAGCCAGGAGTAAGCCCTAAGCCAGATGTGGCCCCAAAACAGAACAAAACAGAGAGCTAGAAACAACAGAGGATAAGGTACTAGCCTTGCAGGCAGCTGACCTGAGTTTGATCCTTGGCACAACAAGGTCCCTCAGAGCACCACCAAGAACGACCCCAGAAGAGATCTCTGAGTATGTCCCTAACTCCCCACTGAAGTGGTTTTAATTCCTTATGTTCAGCAGCTATGGACTGTACCTTTTGCAGACTGTACTTTAGATTTCTTATAAACTCTTTCCTCTAGCAAAAACATCTGCAATGCTAGTTCAGAAGACAAAAAAGAAACAAGACAGACTCTCACCTGCCACCTTCTTTAGAAGCGGCAACTGCTTCCTCTGCGAGTCGTGATGCAGTATTCTGGCTGTACCAAAACTGGCTTAACTGCTGTGAGACAGGGATGGCCAGAAGTTATTTTTGAATTGTCATAAATTTCATTCTTTTAATATATATATTTATTAATTTAACTTTTATTAGTGAAACACGGGCTGGAGTGATAGCACAGTAGGTAGGGCGTTTGTCTTGCACGCGGCCCTGTACACAGTTGACCTGAGTTTGATTCCTCCGCCCCTCTTGGAGAGCCCGACAAGCTACCGAGAGTATCACACCCACACAGCAAAGCCTGGCAAGCTACCCATGACGTATTCGATACGCCAAACACAGTAACAACAAGTCTAACGATGGAGACGTTACTGGGCCCGCTTGAACAAATCGATGAACAATGGGAGGACAGTGCAGTGCAGTGCTAGTGAAACACCATGGGTTACAGTTGTAGACTTACAAACTTTCGTGCTTGGGTTTCAGTTATACAATGATCGAGTACCCATCCCTCCACCAGTGCCCATTCCCCACCACCAATGATCCCAGTAAGCCGCCCACCCCCCAAAACCATCCCCTCCTTGCCCTGCCTCTGTGGCAGGGCATTCCCTTTTCCTCTCCTTCCTTTAGGGTGTTGTGGTTTGCCATAGCGGTACTGAGTGGCCGTCATATTCAGTCTATAATCTACTTCCAGCATGCATCTCCCATCCTGGGTGTGCTGTTCTCTTTACTTGGTGTTCCCTTCTCTATCTAAGCTGCCTTTTTTCCCAGCATGCGCTGCCGCTTACAAGCCATGGAGCAAACTTCCTGGTGCTTACCTCAACTATTATTGGTTGTTAGTCTCCCATTCTGTTACTTTATATTCCCCAGATGAGTGTATGTCTTTCTATGTCTGTGCCTCTATTTCTGACTCATTTCACTTAGCATGATACTTTCCATGTAGAACCACCTGTATGCAAATTTCATGACTTCATATTTTCTAACAGCTGCATAGTATTCCACTGTGTAGATGTACCAAAGTTTCAGTCATCTGTTCTAGGGCCCTCGGATTTTTTCCAGATTTTGGCTATTGTAAAACAGTGGAGCAATGAACATGCAAGTGCAGATGTCATTTCGACTGTACTTTTTTGCCTCTCCGGGATATATTCCTAGGAGTGGTATTGCTGGGTCAAATGGGAGCTCAATTTCTAACTTTTTTTTTTTATTAGTGAAACACCATGAGGTACAGTTGTAGACTTATAAACTTTCGTGCTTGGGTTTCAGTTGTTCAATGATCGGGTACCCATCCCTTCACCAGTGCCCATTCTCCACCAATGATCCCAGCAGCCTTCCCACTCCCCCATGCCATCTTCCCCCACCCCGCCTCTGTGGCAGGGCATTCCCTTTTGCTTTCTCTTTCCTTGAAGGTGTTGTAGTTTGCAATAGAGGTATTGAGTAGCCATTGTGTCAGTCTATAGTCTACTTCCCGCATGCATCTCACAACCCGAGCGAGTCCTCCAAACATCCTTTACTTGGTGTTCCCTTTTCCATCTAAGCTGCCTTTTCCCCCAGCATGCGCTGCCAGCTTCCAAGCCGTGGAGTGGACCTCCTGGTACTTATCTCAACTATTCTTGGGTGTTCAACTCCCATTCTGTTGAATTATATTCCCCAGAGGAGTGCATGTCTTTCTATGTCTGTCCCTCTCTTTCTGGCTCATTTCACTCAGCATGGTACTTTCCATGTGGAACAACTTGTATGTAAATTTCATGACTTCATCTTTTCTAACAGCTGTATAGTATTCCATTGTGTAGATGTACCATAGTTTCTTTAACCAGTCATCTATTCTCAGGCAGTTGGGTTTTTTCCAAATTTTGGCTACTGTGAACAGTGCGGCAATGAACATAGAAGTACAGATGTCATTTCGACTGTACTTTTTTGCCTTTCTGGGATATATTCCCAGGAGTGGCATTGCTGGGTCAAATGGGAGCTCAATTTCTATTTTTTTTCTTTTTTAAAAAAAATTTATTTACTTATTTATTTATTGAATCGCTGTGGGAAAAGTTACAAAGCTTTCAGATTTAGGTCTCGGTCATGCAAATATCAATCACATTTCCCTTTACCAATACTTATTTTTCACCACGAAGAACCCCAATAAACCCCCCCCCATGCCTGTGGGGCAGATGAATTCTAGTTAACACTCTATCTACTTTGACTAGCTTCATTGTTTCGATAAAAGTTGCACCATTGTTATTTAGACTTTACCACCCCCCCCCCAAATCAACCATGCTGAAAAAGCATTGTGAAATGATTTGCTTTCTACAGCTGGGTTCAAGAATTAAATGATGTTGCGCGGCCGCTATTGCGGCCGCGTGGTTTTGGACTTCTGCTATTTTACTTATTAACCCTGGAAGTATTTCTACTGAGAGTCAGATAATTAAGAGATTGGTTTCTGTGCTCTGGAGTCGTGGCCGTGCCGGAGAGCCGTTCGTGGGGGGCAACTGGTGACCTCGGTAGGGTGTGAAGGACGGGCTGGAATGCCCCCCGTCCCATAAGGTTTCAGTCGCGCCCCCACCCCCGGCTCAGACCTGCTCTCCACAAGGCTCCCATGTGGCCGCCATCTTTCTTTCCAGAGAGGAGAGGGCAAATGGAGCAACACCCTTTCCCCTCTGGGCAGGCATGATGGCCTGGATTAACGCATAGTCCGTTCGCTTTTCTGGGGAGTTCAATTTCTAATGTTTGAGAATCGTCCATACTATTTTCCAAAAGGGCTGAACCAGTCGGCATTCCCTCCAGCAGTGAAGGAGGGTCCTTTTCTCGCCACATCCGCGCCACCACCAGTTGCTTTTGTTCTTTTGGATGTGGGCCAGTCTCTGTGGTGTGAGATGATATCTCATTGTTGTTCTGATCTGCATCTCCCTGATGATTAGTTATGTAGAGCATTTTCTCATTTCCTTTTTAGCCATTCAGATTTCTTCTTTTAAAAGGTTTCTGTACATTTCATAACCCCATTTTTTGATGGGTTGGATGTTTTCTTCTTGTGAAGTTTTACCAGTGCCTTGTATATCCTTGATATCAACTCCTTACAGGATGGGTATTGGGTGAATATCCTTTCGCATTCTGTAAACTGTCTTTGTATTTTGGTCACTGTTGCTTTTGAGGTGCAGAAGCTTCTTAGTTTAAGACAGTCCCATTTGTTTATCTCTGTTTTCACTTGCTTGGCTAGTGGTGTGTCATCTGAAAATACTGTTAGCTTCAATGTTGTGAAGGATTCTGTCAACCTTGTCTTCAATGTACCTTATGGATTTTGGTCTGATGTTGAGGTCTTTAATCCATTTTGATCGTTCTTTTAATATATAGCCTTTGTGTATATATTTGTGTCTGGTGCCAGGAACAAAACCTCACATACAAGAAAAAGTGCTCCACCCCTGAGCTCTAGCTCCAAATTTTCTTACTAAAACAGATTTTATTTTGGAGCCACACCTGGTGGTGCTCAAGGCTTACTCCTGGCTGTGTGCTCAGGGATCACTCCTGGCAGTACTCAGGGATGCCGGGAATGAACTTGGGTTGTCATGTGCAAGGCAAGTACCTGCTGTACTATCACTCTGGACCCAAAAACCACATATTTGAGACTATTTAAAATTGGCAAAGAGTTCTAACTAGTGAACAGAATGTAGATATTGAGTATCAATGACTACTAATATTACCATAAAAGAAGACAACTGTTAATGAAAGAATACACTCCTACTTTTGAGTCTTGTCAAACAAAAATCTGTATCTGATAAGCCTCTAGATTCAACTTCCAATGAACAGAATAACTAAGACAGAGGATGGAAGGATATATTATATATAATCAGATTCCGAGAATGAAAAAATAAAAAATGAAAAAAAGCAAAACCCTCAAACCCAACCTATGCTCCATTTCTATGGCGCCTTTTTAAATAATTTTTTAATTTCTAGTTTATCCATCTTATTGAATTGATTTAATCAATTTCAATGCCCAATTCAATCAATTTCTTATTATCTTGTTCCTACTTTGGACAAACTAGCAGGCTACCAAATGTAACTTGCCCACAAGGCAGAGTCTGGCAAACTCTCCATGGCATACCCAATATGCCAAATACCAGTAACAATGATGGGTCTCATTCTCCTAACCCTGAAAGAGCCTTGAATATGGCATTTTTAAAAAAATCTCAGGGCTAGGACGAAGGAGACGTTACTGGGGCCTGCTCGAGGCAATCGACAAACAACAGGATGGTCGTGATGGTGATCCATCGAGGGTAAATTGGGTTGTTTTTGTTTTTGTTTTTGTTTTTAGTTTTTTGGGTCATACTCAGTGATGCTCAGAGATTACTCCTGGCTCTGCACTCAAGAATTAGTCCTGGCAGTGCTCGAGGGACCATATGGGATGCTGGGGATCAAACTTGTGTCAGCTGCGTGCAGGGCAAACATGCTACCCACTGTGCTATCACTCCAGCCCAGATGTTTGCTTTTCATTTTGCACTTTCTATTAATGCTAATGATTTTCTTTAAATTTCTACTAACTTATGTTACTAATCACATTTATAAATGTTGTGGCAGTGCAAGGAACTGCATCTAGGTGACAGCAGAGCCAGGAATTAGGGCCCAGAGGGTGCCTAACCAAAGTAAGGCAGCAGGTGCTCTACCTGAGTCATATCCTGGCCCCCACAGTTTGTACAATAATTTAAAAATTAAGCTGAAGGAAAACAGAAAAAAGATCACTCAAGAATAATGTAGCAGTGGAGTTCATGCCCAATTCAATCAGCTAATCAGTGGCTGAATAAATAGCAGTACTCCTACAAAAAAAAAAAAATAATGTAGCAGGTGGCGCCAGATTATACGGCAGGTAGGGTACTTGCTTTGTACACAAGTGACCCCAGTTCAATTCTTGGCACCACATATGGTCTCCTGTGCACCCCGAAGAGGGTTCCTGAGTATAACTGGGTGTAATATAATAGGGCTCAGAACACTGTAGAACTATGTCTCAGTCCCTCAAGCATTGCTGTAAGCAATCCCTGAACACTGAAAGTGATGCCTGAGCATGACCAGATGTGGCCCAAAAACGAAACAAAAAACAGTACTTCAAGTTTTTATAGCTGCTATTTATAGAAGTATCAAACAAATAAGGCAAAAACACATAAAAATGGTGAAAAAGACCTTTGAGTAGAAAGAACACTTAGAGTTAATGAAAGAAGCATTTTGTGGCCCCTATAAGGCTACCCATGACATTCCTCAAAGAAATAGACAAAACACTCCTGAAATTCAGCCCATGAATAGCCAAAGCAATCCTTGTAAAAAAGTAGATAGGTGGCATCACTTTCCCCAACTTCAAACTGTACTACAAAGCAGTAGTAATTACAACAGCATGGTACTGGGCTAGAAACAGAATCGCAGACCAATGAAACAAAGTTGAATATTCTGTCAAAGACTCTCAAATATATGACCACTTAATCTTTGACAATGGAGCAAGAAATGTGAAGTGCAATAAGGAAAGCCTCCTCAACAAGTGATGCTGGGAAAACTGGACAACTACCTGCAAAAAAGAAAAATAAATAAAAATGAACTCTGACCTCTGTCTAATGCCAGGCACAAAAGTCAGATCAGGGACTGGAGCTATAGTACAGTGGGTAGGGTGTTTGCCTTGCATGCGGTTGACCTGGGTTCGACTCCCAGCATCCTATAATGGTCCCCTAAGCACTGCCAGGAGTAATTCCTGTGTGCAAAGCCAGGAGTAAACACTGTGCATTGCCAGGTGTGACCCAAAAAAGAAAAAAAAAATATCAGATCAAAGTGATTAAAGACCCCAATATCATACCTGAATCAATAAGGTACAGGAGGGAAATTTCAGGCAGAACCCTCCATGACACTGAAGCTAAAAGCATCTTTAAGGATGAAACACCACTGACCAAGCAAGTGGAAACAAACATAAGCAAATGGGACTACATTAAACTAAGATGCTTCTGCACCTCAAAAGAAACAGTGACCAAAATACAGAGAGAGCCCAGGGAATGGGAAAGAATATTTACCCAATACCCATCTGATAAGGGGTTAATATCCAGGATATATAAAACACTCGTAGAATTGTACAAAAAACAAAACAAAACAAAACCTCCAACCCCATCAAAAAATTGGGAGAAGAAATGAACAGAAGTTTTCTCAAAAAAGAAATACAAATGGCCAAAAGGCACATGAAAAAAATGTTCCATATCGCTAGCCATCAGGGATATGCAAATCAAAACAACAATGCGATACCATCTCACACCACAGAGACTGGCACACATTCAAAAGAACAAAAGCCACCAGTGCTGGCGTAGATGTGGGGAAAAAGGGATGCTCTTTCACTGTTGGTGGGAATGCCAACTGGTCCAGCCTTTCTGGAAAACAATATGGACAGTCCTTCAAAAACTAGAAATTGAGCTTCCATATGACCCTGCAATACCACTTCTGGGAATATATCCCAGTGATGCAAAAAAGCAGTAGAAATGACATCTGTACCTATATGGTCATCACAGCACTGTTCACAATAGCCAAAATCTGGAAACAACCCAAGTGCCCTAGAACAGATGACTGATTAAAGAAACTTTAGTACATCTACACAGTGGAATACTATGCAGCTGTCAGGAGAGATGAAGTCATGAACCTTACTTATAAATGGACAGGCACGGAGAGTATCATGCTAAGTGAAATGAGTTAGAAAGAGAGACAGATATAGAAGGACTGCACTCATTTGTGGAGTATGAAACAATGTAACATGAGGCTCACACCTAAGGATAGTAGGTACACGGGACAGGAAGATTGCTCCATAGCTGGAAGCCTGCCTCATGAGCAGAGGGGAGAAGGCAGCTGGAATAGAAAAGGGATCACTAAGAAAATGATGGGAGATGTGTGCTGAAAGTAGATAAAGGACCAAACATTATAGCCTCTCAGTATCTGTAATGCAAATTATAATGCCCAAAAGTAGAGAGAGACTATGGGGGAAATTGTCTGCCACAGAGGCAGGGGAAGGGTTGAGATGAGTGGGGTATACTGGGGACACTGGTGATGGAGAATGTGCACTGGTGGAAGGATGGGTGTTCGATCATCGTATGACGGAAACTCAAACATGAAAGTTTTGTAACTGTATCTCATGGTGATTCAATAAAAAAAATTTTATTTAAAAAGGATTTTGAGGGGCTGGAGAGATAGCACAGCAGGTAGGGCGTTTGCCTTGCATGCAGCCGATCCACCCGGGTTCGATTCCCAGCATCCCATATGGTCCCCTGAGCACCACCAGGAGTAACTCCTAAGTACAGAGCCAGGAGTAACCCTTGTGCATCGCCGGGTGTGACCCAAAAAGTAAAAAAAACAATAAAATAAAAAATAAAAAGGATTTTGATTAATCAGTTTTAAACAGATGGCAAGCAGAGAAGAAAAAAATTTTTTTTTGGTTTTGGGGCCATATCTGATAGTGTTCAGGGGCTTCTCCTAGCCCTGGAAGTGCTTGTAGGACCATATCCAGTGCCAGGAATTTGAACCAGGGTCAGTGGGATGCAAGTAAGCACCTTCACCCCTTTACTCTCTCCAGCCCATAGAAAAATAATACATAACTAAAAAATCCGAAGAACACAAAATGTAAAAGACTATATAAAGATAAATATATAAAAGATTCCTTCCAGTGGTAAAGTGATAAAGAGAGACAAATTAAATATCAAGTATAGTCAGAGAAAATTCAAGCCCCATCTTAACTCATATTATCTCATAAATTTACATTTTTAGATTCAATCTTGAGTTCCCCCTCACTTTTCTTCTCTTGTTAATTTATACTTTTACTAGGGCCATAAGAAAAAACAATGAAAATGTATTGCATATAACAGAAATAAAAACTCCCTGTCATCACAAAAGGGGATGCCCTGCCACAGAGGCAGGGTGGGATGAGGGGTATGGGGGGTGGGAGGGATACTGGGATCTGTGGTGGTGGGAAATGGGCTTTGGTGGAGGGATAGGTATTTGATCATTGTATAATTGAAACCCAAGCACAAAAATTTGTAAGTCTACAACTGTACCTCATGGTGTCTCACTAATAATAATAATAAAAAAAACCTCCCTGTCATCATGGAGAGGCACAACAGGGAGGGCACTGGGCTTGCACACAGCCAATCAAGAGTTCCCAGCATCCCGTATAGTCACCGGAGCACCGCCAGAAGTGATCCCTGAGTAGACCCAGGAGAAAGCACCATAACATGTGGCACAAAAACAGAAAATGAAATAAAAAAAACTTCCTGTCATTTTTTATTCCATCTAAGATCAGTTACACTACTTACTGTGATGATACATTTTTTTCCCTCTTTCCACAAAAAAAAAAAAAAGCCGTTACAATGAATCTATATACAAAGAGGTAAAAATTGTGTTGGCCATAATGAAATTCTGTAACCACATCTGAAAAGTCCCCTCTGGTGACCGACTAGCCAGCCTGAGAATCTGAATCAGAAAAAAATATACTGGGCACATATGCTGTCCAAGCCCATGTGCTGCTTGTGCCCACGTGTCAAGCATATGTGTCGCCTGCATCTCGCCTCTTGAGATGTGTACTTTCCTGTCTAATGCTGGGGTGGATGTAGGGGCTCTCTCCGCCCTTGAAGAAGTTCGCATTCTCTCTTGAGCATATTACTCTCTCTCTCTCACTTTCCCTCCCTCCTCAGCTTCCAAAATCCTCCAAATAAAATCTGCTTTACTTCACTGTTTACTCCTGAAACTATTTTCTGCAAGGTGAGTCAAGAACTCGGTAACTTTGGGAAAGGCCTAGGACTGACTTTCTTTTCCAAAAAAAAAAAAAAAAAAAAAAACAAAAACAAACAAAAAAAAACTGTCTTAATGTTCATAGATGGCTTTCTGCATTAACGCCTATTCTAATGATCACTTCCTGATGATAAGTTAGACAGATTTGGCTATCAGGTGGATAAAGACAAATCCTGGATTAGGTACAGAATGAGTTCCACAATAGTATTTCCTGATGGAAGTGGGATGCAAGGCTTACCCAATCCTCTTCTATGATTCCAATGCTATATTTATCATCCCCACCTAGGTCAGTTTGTTGTTTCTGCTCAGCATAAAATTCCTGGAGTGCTATTAAGGTTTGGACTGAAAGCTGGGGAACATCATCGTCTTCTGAGTCACTCATTACACAAATTGTCAACGACCTGCAGAGAAGAAGAGAAGTACTATTAGGTGTTCTCTCCTGTCACAAAATTGTTAAATTATATTGCAGAGAAAGGATCCCAACTTCAAGTTTTTGTTTCAGTCCCCCCATGCAGTCCAAGGGGCCCGCGGCACTCCTAGGGATATTTTGCCCACCAGGCCAGGTAATTCAATGCAGGCCAGTGATTCAGTGATGCTTGTGATGATGGTGGCCATCCAAGTAGTTCTTGTACTCTCCAGGTTATACCTGAAATTCTCAGGGGCCATGTAGTACAGAGGCCTGAATTTGCACACCCAAGTCATGTATCCCTGACCTCTCAGTGATCTCCCTATTACTGCAATTAGGAGTTTTATATGACATCAAACTTCTATAGCTGTGTTCTATAAACTACAGTTTAACAAATGTATGCTTTCCCCTTAAATAGTTTTTTATAGGTAAAGGTAAAGGTAAAGGCCCTCCCGTTGATCATCGATTTGCTCGAGCGGGCCCAGTAACGTCTCCATTGGAGACTTTGTTGTTACTGTGTCTGGCATATCGAATACTCTCGGTAGCTTGCCGGGCTCTCCGAGAGGGGCGGAGGAATCGAACTCGGGTCGGCCATGTTGGCCGCATGTAAGGCGAACGCCCTACCCGCTGTGCTATCGCTCCAGCCCGGGTGAAAAAAACTAATCAAAATATACACTGTTTAAATGTTTTTATACACTGTTTAAATGTTTATACACTGTTTAAATATACACTGTTTAAATGTTTTTTAAATGTTTAAATGTTGTTACACAGGACAATTTATTTATTTTTTTGCTTTTTGGGTCACACCCGGCAATGCTCAGGGGTTACTCCTGGCTCATGCACTCAGGAATTACTCCTGGCAGTGCTGGGGGACCATAAGTGATGCTGGAAATCAAACCCAGGTCAGCCATGTGCAAGGCAAACGCCCTACCCGTTGTGCTATTATCCCAGCCCCCAGGATAAATAATTAATACAAATAGCACTGTAGCACTGTCCTCATGTTGTTCATCGATTTGCTCAAGCGGGTGCCAGTAACATCTCCGTTGTGAGACTTGTTGTTACTGTTTTTGGCATATCAAATATGCCACAGGGTGCTTGCCAGGCTCTGCCGTGTGTGCAGGATACTCTTGGTAGCTTGCTAGGTCTCCGAGAGGGATGGAGGAATCGAACCTGGGTTGGTTGCGTGCAAGGCAAACACCCTACCCGCTGTGTTACTGCTCCAGCCCCCAGGAGAAATTATTAATACAAATATCTAAAAATATTTCTTCTTGTCCCAATGGTCAATACACAGACATTTCACAGACAATTCCCTGAAGCAGAGACTTTTAATGCTTGAATGACACTACTTAAGTGATTTAAGTCTCTTGGGTGCTACTGAAAGGATAAGTGAAGAATTCATTAAAAGATCTATGAAAAATCAAACAGATAACAGAGAAGAAAGGCAAACAAGATGAGAGGAGGAGGAGTAAGAAGTGATGGCCAAGCACAATTCCTCTCAGTGCTTCTTCCAAGTAGTCTGCCCCAGTCTCTGACAAGTGCCAAGTTTAGGGACTTCCTAGGACCACCCTTATGTTCAACATTTGCTAGGAAAAAAAACTTAGAACTCACTAAATTGCTCTCATGGTTACATTCATCACAGGGAAATAACAAAGAGGAATCAGCCAAGAAAGAGATGAACAGCAGCATCTAGGCAAGCTCCAAATCAGGCAACGTTCATCTTTTTCTCCTTCTGGTGATGTCTGACAATGTTTTATTACTCAAATAAAAAACATCTATGCCTCATTGAAGCACTGTTTACAATAGCCAAAATCTGAAAACAACCCAAGTGCCCTAGAACAGATGACTGGTTAAAGAAACTTTGATACATCTACACAATGGAATACTGTGCAGTTGTTAGGAGTGATGAAGTCATGAACTTTGCTTTTAAATAGATAGACATGGAAAGTATGATGCTAAGTGAAATAAGTCAGAAAGAGAGAGACAGACATAGAAGGACTGCACTCATTTGTGGAGTATAAAACAACATAACATGAAACTCACACCTAAGGATAGTCGGTACACGGGAAGATTGCTCAATAGCTAGCTGGAAGCCTGACTCATGAGCAGAGGGGAGAAGGCAGCTGGAATACAGAAGGGATCACTTAGAAAATGATGGCTTGAGGAACCGGTCAGGATGGGAGATGTGTGCTGAAAGTAGATAAAGGACCAAACATGATAACCTCTCACTGTCTGTATTGCAAACCATAACGCCCAAAAGTAGAGAAAGAGTATGGGAAACATTTGTCTGCCATGGGGGCAGGGGGAGGACAGGGAAGGGGGGGTGGTATACCGGGGATATTGGTGGTGGAGAATGTGCACTGGTGGAGGGATGGGTGCTTGATCATTGTGTGATTGTAACTCAAACATGAAAGCCTGTAACTATCACACAGGATGATTCAATAAAATTAAAAACAAATCTATGCCTCAACTAGTGACAAACCAAAGAAGCAAAATAATGTACTAAATCCATGTTTTCTTTCATCAAAGATTTACCTGTGTAAAAGCCTGGTAATAAACATCTGGTTACAAGTTCATCTAGTCCCCATGAAAAATGAGCAAGCCACAAGGTATATACATGATTAGATTGACAAAAGGCTCAAAAACAAACCTAAGGCAACTAGGGATATTATAGCAGGTAAGGCGTTTGCCTTGCACTTGCCAAACTGGGCTTCAATCTCCAGCACTGCATATGATCCCCAGAAGTAATCCCTCAACACAAAATCAGGAGTAAGCCCTGAGCACAGACAGTCTGCCCCCAAACTAAAAGCAACAACAAAGTAAAACTAAAGTATGCTGTTTAAGGAATCATCAAGCCCTACATTCAAAGATATGCTGGCTTTATTATCAAAAACCTTCTCAAACAGAAGACTCCAAGTTCACACATCCCATTTCGGAACTGCCTGCATTCTAACTTGGAGTGATTCCTTTCTTTCTCTTTATAGGGGTTTCCTTTTCTCCCTCTCTTCTTGCTCATATTTCCTAAATAAAACAAGTCTCCAGGTTAGAACAACTCACTGATGGATTTTTTTTTTAAACTGAATATCCGTGAGGTAGACGATAACAAAGCTGTTCATAATTGGGTTTCAGTCATGATCCAGCACCCATTCCTCCACCAGTGTACATTTCCCATGACCAATATCCCCTGTTTCCCTCCCACCATCCCCCAATACCCCACGCCCAATCTCCCTCTATGGGAGGCACTTTCCCTCTTGCTCTCTCTCCTTTTCCTTTTGTGCATTATGATTTGCAATGCAGGTGTTGAGAAGTCATGATATTTGTTCAGGGCATTCTCACTGATTAATTCTAAGGATAAATTCTTTCTCTGAGTTTAAGGAAAAAGAAAAGGATATCCACTCTCGTCACTTTTATTTAATTAACACTGACCTGCCTTTTCAAATAATGTAAGAAGGGAAAAGTAAAACAATAAGCATAAGGACTATAAATAAGGAAATGTGAAAATAATTATTCACAGAGGAAATCCTAAGAAAACTTCTCTAAGTGATCATAATTCAACATAAAAGTGCCATCACATTGCATAGTACCTTCAACAGTGTTATGAAGAATAACACTTCACCTCTATGGTCCTTGTTCAAAGAATAAGCAATGATCCCAGTCTAATTATGACTACACAATCAGAAAAATTCCAATTAATCTTGTTTTCTGCATGTAAGTGTCCATCCAGCTGTTGAGTTCTCTATTTCATCCTATTATTAGTTTTTTTTTAATCCTTTTACATGAAATTTTTTAAGTGTCAAGGAACCATGTTTACAGTTATTCACAGTTGGGTTTCAGGTGTACAATGTTCCTACACCAATCCCACTACCAATGTTGACAATATTCCCCTCCAGCCCCTATTAACCTACCTCCTTGATAATTTTTTATTTGGGGCCAACACCCCACAATGCTCCTGATGAGGAGCAAACCCAGATCAGCCACATGGATGGCAAGCACCTTGCCTGCCATACCATTGCTCCTGCCTGACAGGTATGGGTATGTGTGTGTGTGTGTGTGCGTGTGTGTGTGTGTGTGTGTGTGTGTATATATATATATATATATACACATACATACATACATATATAATCTTTTTGAGTCACACCTGGCAATGCTCAGAGGTTACTCCTGGCTCTGCATTTAGGAATAACTCCTGGAAGCGCTTGGGAGACAAACCCGGACTGGCCGTGTGGAAGGCAAACGCCCTATCCACTGTACTATGGCTCCAGCCCGCCCCCCCCACCCCCTGCCCCGAAAGGCATATTTTTAAGTTCAGTTAGTCTTGTGAGTCCCCTGCTTGTATTGTTGGCTCTATAGTTTAGATATATACTTATACCACACCTCTATGCCACTGATGTTTTGGAGGCCCCAAGCCCCTGCCCCTGTTACCTCCTATTCATCTCTTCTTACTCCAAACTTCAATCTCTTTTCTTCCCTGTCCTTCTCATCTATAATCTAGAGTCAAGAATAATCTGGGAATTCCCCTTTGATTCCCTACATTCCATCCTATTGTTCTTCTACATACCAGATAAATGAGCGTATCCAGTGTTTGTCCTTCCTTTTGACTTACTTCAGTTAATATGCTATCCTCCAGTTCTATTCAAGTTCATAATTCATCAGAATCCCATAGTATTCCACTGTATATGTAGATATACTTTCATCATCCATTCATCTGTTCTTGGACACTGGGGTTGATTTCATATCATAGCTGTTGTTCTGAATGATGCAATGAATAATTGTGTACATATGTCCTTTTGGGCTAATTCTTTTGTGTCCTGGGTTAAAAACCAGTAAGTGGAAATGTTGGGTTGTTTGGCAGATCTATTCCTACTTTTCTGAGAAATCTCCACAGCTTTTCGTAGTACTGAACCAGGCAACACTCCCACTAGTAGTGAATGAGAGTTCCTTTTTACACCCTTGCCAACATAGATTGTTCCCTGTTTTTTTTTTTTGGGGGGGGGGGGG